TCCCCCAGAATAGCACAAAAGGCTGTTTCTGTGAGGGCTTCCTAACTGCAGCCTGCACCAAAGAAAACAAGCTGCATGAATTCCTCTGGGACCACCTAGAAAAAGGGTGTGATTGGTAATGCTAACAGATCCCCATCCTGATGCTAGATCATGTTTAGATACCTAGAGATTACACCCATTTAAAAGCACAGGCAGATTAAAACAGGTAAGAGCAATGATAGCCAATGGAGAAGACAAACACAAATGTGCCCTTTTTTTTTTTTTAAATATGCTGAAGTCAGGGAAGCATGAATGTTAGAGTTGTTCATGATGCAGCATCCACTCAATGCGTTATTTTTGTAGCTGCAAGTATGACGCAAAAGGGAGCCTTGACGCTGAAGGCCATATATCTCTAAATAAACATTTTTTTTGTTTTGTGCATATTTGGTCTTGAACACAATTGCGAGTTGAAGCGTATGTGAATCAACAGACTCCTCCAAAAAACTGCATGAAGACCGGACTTGCTGCACACAATAGTTCCAGTCACCACTGGGATGTTCTCAGTCACATTAAAAGCAATTTTCCTACAGGCTAACTCCAAGTTCACAAGCAACCCACCATCATTCTTTCAACCATGTTGTAGAAGCCAGTCAAGGCTGTTACATCTTTCTTACTGCTCCAAGCAACATGAACGTGTTTGCACCTCCATCAAAAGCACCTTCCAGCCTCAGAAATGCAAAAATAAGCACAGAGGAAGTATTTTCACAGCCCAGTTTAAGACCACATCATTCAAGTATGCATGGCTTCTTAACCTGAGAAGCTGTCACAAAACTGAGTTAAACCATTTTCATATGTTTTGCATGTCCTTCTCATTAAAATACTCCAAACACTTCAGAAGCCTTTGCCTTTCTCACCCACATTTTACATAGCTAGTGTCCTAAATTTGTAGTTTCAGAAACAAAAGGTTTCCGAAGAAATGTCATGAACCCAAAGTCGTACAAATGTTCATTTAAAAAGAAATTCTTGACAGGAGCTATTTTACAAGCAGCCTGTCACCAAATGTACTAAGTTAAAAATGAAGACATGCAGAAGTACTGCCAATCGAGTGTGTCAGCAATCACATACGTACGTCAGCAAGCTCAGCGTAGCACGGCAGCCAAGTGAGAAACTTTTCATGCAGGCCTCAGGTTCTTGCTACCTGTCCAGAGTCCCAGCCTGACAGGGATCCTTCCAGGAGGGAATGTTCCAGCCTCTACAGCAATCTCAAGCTGAGGCATCTTCTCAAATGACAAAGTCAGCCATGATCAAAACATCACATGTGTGGAAGATGACATCATTTAACAAGAGGCCAAGAAGAGTTAACCAAGGTAAGTGGCACAGAAGGAATAGTGACTTAGGCAGAAGCATTGTCCATTTGCTCCTCTTAAAAATAGTTCACAATGATGCTAATAAAAAGGTTTGCATAAGCCACAGCTTGTTGGTAGGTGGTATTACAAAACTTCTTTTTTTTTTTTGTTAATTTTTTTTCTGTGTGATGGAGCTATCTCACAATTTGTAAAATAAGGCAGCAACAGCCCACAATTTACACTAAACAAGCATTGCTCACACAGACTATTCCAAATTTTTTATACATTATTCCACCACTAAAATGTCATAAGGTTCAGCTGTCACAGCAAGTGGCGGGATGTCCTGAAGTGCGTCTATGGAAAACTTCAGCCACCGTGTTTCTGAATACTCAGACATACAATGAACACCATGACAAACAAAACCACTAAAGATCCTCTTATTCCATTCCTCCCTCCTCCCTGTGCACAACTCAATGAAAGAAGCTCATGTTCCTCACTAAAAAAATAATATTTTAAAATCTAGATTGTTCGCTCTTGTTTTCTTCTTCCTGAACATTTTGCAGCATGTATTTATAGAGCTACATGTACTGATCTACCTCACAAATACTTTTGAATACTGTAACTACTAAAGTAATTTCTTCCTTCTTACACCACAGCATGATTTTCATTAGTACTTCACTTCTGTAAGCAAAAAAAGAGTATATGCAAACATGTATATATACATATCTACTTAAAGATTATATGAAAAATTAGCTAGCTGAGAGGCAGGGCAAATTTGGTTTTGTTGATATAAGCAGAGACAATGTTCTGCAGTAACTTTGTTTAATAAAATTAAGTTTCCATCAGGTGTAAATTTGGCCTATTACATATTTGACTGTCAGCCAACACTTTGCCTGTAGTCCTAATAAAAGTATTTTAAACAGCAAAGTGCAAAAAGATAAAAGACAATGAAAAAGAATTTCACGCAATAGAGCACAAGTTAAGGAAAAACCATAGGCAACCTGCTTTTTCTTCTTCTGGGTAGAAACTGAGAAAATCTTCAAAGTCTGTTTTTGTGGTCATCTTATGTATACCTGCCTGTCCCAAAAAGGCTGGAATATTAGCAAGACTAGTTAGAAAAAGACTCGGATAAAGGGGATAATTAGCCGAATGTAATCCCCAAGTGCAATACCCAAGCTAACAGGGCTAGTGTAATCCCTAGGATATCTAAATGGGAATACAGCATTGAAGCAGACAGGTCATGCTGCCTTAATTTAGCAACAGCACGCCTGCTACAGATTTGCTGTTGTCCACAATCCAACAAGACACAGATGTTGACACTAATACTGATAAACAAAGACCTTCAAACTCTTTTTTCTATAAAACGTATACTCACAAGTCACAGTGGGCCATATCAGACCCCAGGCCATTCTCATTACTCTGCTATAGGGCAGGATGGTGGGTACCTTCCTGCAGAGGAAAGTTGTTCCTCATGCTTCTCTAGGAGTCCCAGCAATGACAGGGTCACTCTCCCCCTTCTCTGGAGCATGACCTAAAGCGCAGGCATACCTGCTCTCAGGAGAAAGTCTTACGGCCTACACCAGTGTTAACAGTATAACCTGTACTGTGCTCAAAGACAAGCATGTGGAAATTGCATCTCAAATGACTTCTTCAAGTCAGCAAGTCAGAGACAGAAGGTATCCTCAAGCATCAGCTTTATCTAAAAATAGCAGAAAACAATACTCATTGCTCTGTACTGCTGTTATGGAGCTCACAGGTACTCTCAGCATGGGGATGGGTCCAAGTTTGTCCTTTTCCACTGTCCTCGGTAGCCCACTCAACCAGGCAACATCAGTCTAGACACAAAATGGAAGTTACATGTGCATAGAACCAGGCCAATCAGCATAGGCAATAAAAATGCACTCCTACTTCCCAGCTAAGAGCAACTTTAGAACATCACCAGACAAAAACCTAGATCAGAGCCGTCCAGATCACCTTCCCAGTGCATGGTCACGGTGCTGGCTTGGGAACCAGACTCCTCCACAAGGACCTCATAGAGCTCCTTCCAAACAAACCTGGCAGCTCAGGTCAAGACTGCATGTGGACACACCTTGCAGAGAACCAGTGATTTTGGAAAACCATCAGAGCAAAACACCAGCCAAAAAAAACCCCCACTGTACTGAGTACTGAGGAGAAGAGTGAAGGCCTAATTTATCTTCTATAGAAAGCCTTGGTGAACCCACACTTTGAAGAATGGCATCTGAACTATGAAAGGGATGGAGTACTCTTAAGGAGACACTGGAAAAGCTGGAACTCTTCTGTCTGGAGAGGAGAAGAATAAGAGAGGGAAGGACTGATCAAGGGTGGTAAACAAGCTGAATGCTGAACAGTTATTCACCAAATCTCACAATTCTGTAACTATGGGGCACTTCTCAAAACCACTAAGAAATCTGTTAAAAAAGAAAGAAAATAAATTGCTTCTTCAGAGTCAAGAGTGGATTTCTGTAATGCATTGCCTCCACAGCTTCCAATGGTAGACAGCACCAGCTCTTTCAAGAGGGAGTTAAACAAATTCATGGGTAACAGGTCTGCAAACAGATACTGAAGTGAAGAGGCAGATATGTGCCTTCTGATACCCTTAATACAGTGTTTGTGGATGCTATAGGAGTGGGAGGTAAACTGACCAAAGACTCAGGCTCACATGTTTTCTATAAATGGTTCCTATTCCCATTGCTACAGAATACCAGGAGACATGGACCACTGGCCTGACCAGAAAGGCATTTTTACCCTCAGGATGAGTACAGAAGGAAGCGGCAAGCTGGGAAGAGTTTGGCATTGGGAAACTTCATATACAAGCAAAAAGTTTTGCCTGTTTGTTCTTGCTTGTCACCTCTAAGTAACTGGCAATGTTTATTGCACGCAATTACCAACTCAGTTTGCACTACCTCCTGATGACAGTAGTTGATGGTGAACCTCAGATCCTACTGCTCAGCCAAGTAACCTTAGCTACTGTTAAGGAAGATAACACAGGCAGCTACATATGCAAGAGATCTTAAGATCTAAAGTCCACACAGCTAAGCAGACTAAGAAGAGAACATCAAATGTGATGCTTTGCATTAACAACATGGGCGTCCTCAAGGCTGAATGGACTTAGGGGTATACGGAGGCATGTTTCCATTTGTCACTGTGGTGGCAAGGCTCAAACTCCAATCACTCCCGCATATTTAGGGTTGTACTGGGATGTCCTTGCTGCTGCTAGAACAGGAGTAATAAGGACTGGGCAGTCTGGAGATGACACAGGTTTTGAAGGGCAAAGCATATGCAATGGCATGGCAAAGGCTCCGGCATTAAGTAGCACACAGTGCACACTGATAGCTCAAGGTAGGTGAGACCCCAGAGGGAGAGCATCAGAAAAGGTGAAACGAAGAATATCCCAACTAGACAAGTGTCAAGACACCTCTGTAGCTAAGGCAGTATGTATGATCAAGTAATTCAGGTGTATGTGGGCGTACCAGATATACTTTTACAGGAAAACATAGGCAGCTTCTCTCTCTGTGAGCTACTGATTTATTTTAAGAGACCTTAGGCTGGAAACAGATGCTTTTCACCAGAACTCCTCAGAGACAGAGATCTCAAGTGGCTTTCAGCTTTACAGTGAAAGTATTTACCTTACCTTGTTTTAGATATTTCTCTTACCTTGCTTTAAGTACTTCATTGACTTTTTGTTCTAGTTCTAATCTCCTCTGCCGCTCTTTTTCTAGCTCCTGCCTTAATGTTTCAGCATTTGTTTCTTCTCTCAGCTTCCTGAGCTCCTCCTCTGTTAATTAAGGGAGAAGAAAAAGATTTAGTTACCCTGAAGTATTTCTATAAGAAAATTAAAACCTAATTATGACAGATTAGGTGTTTTGTTTTGGTTTTTTTTACATCTGTGCTATACCAAATATATTCACCAGAAAAAGCAACTAAACAAGGGCCAGAAAGACTTCATAAAAAGCACACAGCTGTATCATATAGAAAATGTCTAGTTACAAATGTTAAAGAAAGGAGAAAAACAACTCTAAAGTTTTCTTTTCAAGATGCAATGTATCAAAAATAAGTCCTTGGTATAAGCTACCTTTATCTAAATACAAGGTGACGTAAGGTGACATACCCTTCATTCCCCAAAGAAACAATCAACAGGAAAGGCTGTCTTTTGCTAAATTCAGTGGTCTTAACAAGAAAAAAAAAGTATCTGTTTTCTTCCCCATGTCTATGGGTAGGAAAACCCCCAAACATATACTCTGATAAGTTATATGATGCCATATAACCCTCTATCCATCAATTTCTGGCACTTCTGTATTTTTACATGTCAGACCACCCCATTAGGGACCCGAGTATCTTACAGTTTTAAGAAGGGATTATGAGAAACTAAATTCAGATTTTTCCCCTTTTCTGAGGTTACAGTGTGCCCTACCAACTTCCATGTAATAATTTACATATAAATATGTATACATACACACACACATATTTATTTACACAGACATATATACACACTTTCACAACTTTTTCATGAGAACTTAGTATCAACTATGCATAAGGTTTTTTTGTGGCTAATTAGCTTTCCTTTTTTTGTCACTGGCAGTATCCTTGTTCATGACCTTATTTTACTGTAGAGCTACAATGCAGTCACTATCACTGATTCCTTTTCCGAGATAGGTATACAAGAGACATGACAAAAAGAAGTATTGGAATCTTTTCTTTTTTTTTCTTTTCTCTTTTTAAACAAAAAACTTACACTACATTTTGGTCTCTAGGCTGGTTTTTAAGTTCAATTTCCACAATAAATTGTGGAACAGCACGTGTATTTCAAGCTTAAAGCAAACCAGAACAGAAAATACTTGCTAATTCCACTATCAACACAGGCACAGGGGTTCAGACTTTATGTTGTTTTACAAGATTTGAATATTATGTTCTACCTTCCAGCAACCTCTTCTGTTTCTTTTCACATATTGCCTTGTAAATCTTTGATAATCAGATAATTTTGATATCTGAGCCTCTCTGACTCCAGTCATCAGGTGTTTGAGAAGGTCTGAAGCCCTAGTGCAAATATTCAGAAGAACTGATAAACTCTCCCCCCCTCTGCAGGAGGCCCTTGTGCAGTATCTCAGATAATTTTATCCACTGTGCAAGTTAGTTGGTGGTAGATTATCTGTATTCCTGCAGCACTGAGAGGTTTACAGCACAGAATTAGGAGAGATGGGAAAAAGACACATGAATCGAGAGGACAGTACAACATGATGGCTTCCACCATGAAGCTATGGGTTGAGCTCCACCAAACTGAAAGGAGTGCTACCATCTTGCCACTGATGCTTTGTTAGTGATCCCGGAAAGAAGAGTTGCAGCACAGAAACCAAGTTATCCTCCAGCAACTAAAACTGAAATTTATTCCCAAGGGTAGGGTAGGGAACTTTTACTGTTGCAGCAGGTAGTGTCTCTCCTGTAAATAAATGGGAAGAAATGGGCATAAGGGCATACCTGTACATGAAGCTGTTCCCAATTATATGTCCACAAGGAATTTTAAATCCAACAAGAAAACTGTGTTTATAATTAGCTCACCCTACTTTCAAGGGCTCGCCTTGTTCCAGAACAAGAGAATGCACACAGCTGAGGGGAAACATCTGTTGCATTTCAAACGCACTAGAGCTTGTGCAATATCATGAAGACATCACAAAAAGTTCCAAAGCTTGATAGCGATGTTATCTTCCCAAGACCATTAAAGGGAAGATATTCTTCATTAAGCACTTTTTTTTTTTTTAAGAGGAAGTGACTATGCATTGTGTGTACATAAGAAAACCACAAGTAGTGTAAATTAACCTCCATGTCCTTGAAAGTCTACTCAGATCTCCCAGCTTCCTTAATTCCAGTTGTTCTGTTTGGGCTACATCTTGTTCTGTTAAAAACAAAACATAACCCCCAGAAACTTGACCACTAGAACAAGCAGTGCCAGAGATGCAGAATGAATTTATACAAAGAGGGAGTTAAAGGGTACACAGCAAACAAGGTAGAACTCCTATAAAACAAAACAAAAAATATAGCATCTCATCATTAAGGATTGTCACAGCTTCACGTTTCATGGCATTTCCTAACTTCCAAGTACATGACTTTGCAATTAAAATCCACCCCATGACGACTACTCTGGCCCCTCCAACTCTTTAAAGCACCTTTTGTTACTACTTTGGCAGCAGTGTGATCTGGCAATGTAAAACCTCTGTGTTTGGTTAAATACTTTATGTTTGCTAAGCAACAGAAACCACAGAGCGGGGTAGGGGGGTCAGGAAGAGAGAAAAAAAAAAAAGACAAAAAACCTCCATGTTCTTCCTTGCACTCTCCTCTGAAACAATCTACAATTGGGCGAAGCTGAACTGAACTTACAGAGGACATTTCTCTAGCCATGAGGGGTCCTCCTGCCGAAGAGTGAAGCTGGTTACAAAAAGCAGAGGTCACGGACCCTTGAGAAGAGCCTGTAAGAACATTTCACCATGGTATCTATCTACTGAACTTTACAAATGAGTATAATCCTTCACGATGAGAACAGAGTGCTCCTTGGATTTCATCTTCAATCAAAATTCAAACATCCTCCCCTCTCCGCACCACACAAAAGGGTCAAGCTTCAGGTCCAAGATTAATCAGCTTCCATAATTTCCCTCCCAGGTATATCAATCTCAGCTCCCTATCTCCCACTGGGCAAGAAACTTGAAAAAAATATTACAAGAGGCTCAGTGCATGGCTTAACTGGACATGCAGGTGATGTGAGCACCCATAAAGGTGACCTAGTTAGAAGGAGAAAATTACTGAAGAAAACATCTACTGAAATGCTGATAGAGAAAATGCCAGCCAGCTTGGGAACTAGGCCTGGGAACCAGAAGCATCCTTGAGAAGTGCAGCTGCCCTCTTTGAAGTACACAGTTGGGTACCTAGAAACCAGAGACATCCTGAGATACCATTGATAAGGGCAAAAACAAGGAACTGTAACAGCAACTTATCATCTGAAAAGGTAAAATAAAGTCTGAAAAAAAGGGGAAAACATCACGAGAAAGTAAGAACCGGTAACTGCCATTGGCTATTATATCTGCAAGAACAGGAAAACAGTCTGGAAAAGTGAAAATTACCCTGAAAGAACAGAAAACATCAACATCTATTGGCTATTCTGGGTGAAAACCAGAACTTAACAGCATCTACACCTCCTTATTTCTCTATGATATAAAAATGACTTAAATTTTATCCAAAATGAAGCTTCTCTCTCAAAGAACTTCCCGTGCTAAAAATACTTTTCCTTTCCTAAATAGGTTGAACTCTCCTCACAAACCTTCTAAGAGATCTTAGAGCCTTGCCAGGGAGGGTTTGGTTTGTCCTCCCACTTCTAGGATGGTTGGGTCCCCCTCTGGGATCTGTTTTTCCCGCTCTCTGGGACAATCTTGCACCTTCTGAGATCTAATAAGCTTGATACTGGTATTATTGTGAACATACATACACATGCACATATAAGTAATCTATCATAAGTATTTCTGCTGCTATATTATTGGTAAGTTGGCTTCACTAGTGATAACTTTGCAGTAACCTGTAATAATACACACCTACTTGGTTGCTGCCATACTATTGACTGATGTCAATAATTTATAAAAGCTTTATATATTTTTTTCATTCACATATATATATATATATTTGTGTTAGCAATCACAGTTATAGTTGCTACGGAGATTTTTGTGGTATCTGTATGTTACAGAATCCTACCAACCCACAGTCACAATCTCTATATACCCACAGGCTGGGTAACCCTTGAGGTCATGACAGCAAGTGTGACTCTGAAAAAAAAATGCTTTAAATCTCTCTAACAAAGTCAACTTGTGCAGAAAAGCAGGACAATATCGGGATAATACTGCACTTCTACAAATGAGAGAAAAGTGTGAGAAAAGACAACAACAGTGTTTCAACTACGTTAACTTGCATATTATTGCACTGTAAACCCTTGGAGAGTTGATCCCGGAGGAAAGACCACCATCAGCGATGCATCTCAAGTTACCAAAAAAATATATCCATTTCAGGTTTTCTACAGCATTTTATCCTCTATTAGGTGTGTGCTGTTTTTTGCTGGGATAGAGTTAATTTTCTTCGCAGTAGCTAGTGTGGGGCTGTGGTTTGGATTTGTGCTGGAAACAGTGCTGGTAACACAGGGATGGTTTCGTTACTGCTGAGCAGTGCTGACACAGAGCCAAGGCCTTTTCTGCCTCTCACACCACCCCACCAGCGAGGAGGCTGGGGGGGCACAAGGAGTTGGGAAGGGACACAGCTGGGACAGCTGACCCCAACTGACCCAAGGGATATCCCATACCATATGACATCATGCTCAGCATATAAAGCTGGGGGAAGAAGAAGGAAAAGGGGGACGTTTGGAGTGATGGCGTTTGTCCTCCCAAGTCGCCGTTACACGTGATGGAGCCCTGCTGTCCTGGAGATGGCTGAACACCTGCCTGCCCATGGGAAGTGGGGAATGAATTCCTTGTCTTGCTTTGCTTTTGTGTGTGGCTTTTGCTTTACCTATTAAACTGTCTTTATCTCAACCCATGTTTTTTCTCACTTTTACCCTTCTGATTCTCTCCCTCATCCTGCCGAGCGAGCGAGTGGCTGCGTGGGGCTGAGCTGCCTATTGGGGTTAAACCACGACAAGGTGTAACACAACTGTCACACCTGCACTCTACAGATTTCATCATTTAAATTTGAAGACTTAACAATACAAAAAGTTTAGTTGTTACCATATAATTCTTAAAAAACAAGCTACCC